TCAAGCTTTGTTGATAGCCTTGCTGGAATGTCATCTGGCTTGTTTCACTGAAAGTTACCAGCCTGTATTGTTAAACTATAATCCCACCTATGTTCTCTTCCTGTAACTTCCTAGTCTGGAAAATAAATGCAGGAAGAGAACCCCAATTCGAGGTTAATTTCCCAAGGAAGGGATGCTTCTTGCTTGAGCATCCCCAAGGGAAGTTAACTGCTTCAGGGTCTCTCACTGCTCAGAAGAGATGGGCTTTGAGTAATTCTTTGCGTCTCCATCACCCAGGGGAAGTGGGGTGACAAATCCATGGGGGGCAAAGCAACACAAAACAACAGATCTCCCCTTCCCATGGTGATGACTTTATAATATCGTGTAGGTGGAAAGATTTCTCAATCTTCCTCTAACATGGTTGATCAAAATTTGTTCTGAATTATTGAACCTTTAGAAAAGTTTCTTTCACCTTCCCAACTTAGATTGGCACAGTCATGTAAAGTTTTAGAACTGCTGTCAAATGTGGGGAAACCATTACCAAGTTTCTTTGATAAGACTCTGGGACAAGTCAAGCATTCCATTTCTTTCTAAGATTCTGGGATGTGTCAAGCATTCCTAAACTAATCTTTAATACTTTGAAAAAAGTATGGTGCGCTTATAATTGTACATGCTGCATTGTCGAGCCTATTCTCGACAAAAGCAAGCTTGTGTCTCAAGCAGGTATTGGTGGTAAGAATCAGTCTTCCTCTTTTAAGAACACATCTGCTGACTGGACGAATTTTCCACAGACTAGCCTCTGGCGCCATACATTTCAAGCCATGTCTCCTCCACGACCCGCTTACTCTTTGTGCCAGGTTCTGCAGGACATGTTCCTGTGGCAACACAACCCTGGCCTTGCACTTTCTAGACACCGGTGATGAGCTCAGTGGGCAAGAGGAGTGTTCCTGGAAGCTGTCCTGCCCAGGATAACCTACTAACGTGGAAGTGACTGTGAACCAGACACATAGAGGGTACTCCAAAAAGTTCATGGAAAGATTCGTATTATCTTTTGATTCCACTTTTCCATGAACTTTTTGAAGTAACCGCCTGTATCCCAAACTAAATGTGTCCCCAACTTTACCTTGCAAGATCTCAATAGTGTCCAGGTGACCTCAACACCACAAAAGGAGAGGAAGGGTGTTGGAAGGGAAGTTGGGATGAAAAGAGGGAACAGGTTTAGCCAACTGAAGTTAAAGTATATCACTTTTGCAAATTGCATAAAATCTTGGGAACATGCGAGCACACAGCCAAGGACCATCACGTGTGAGGGGCTTTAAGCGCAACCCTCCCCTCAGAGTAAATCTGCTTCTGCACTCCATCAAGCCTTTGCTGCACCCCTATCCAACCTCACAGGCACCTGATTACCCTGCTTTCTATTTCCGTGAGAAAGCAGAGCAGAGAGAACATCCACCTCTTCCCGCCAGCCTTGAACTGTGGCCACACCTGCCAGCACTTCGGTACCACACCCATCAGGGCATCACTCCTGACTTGCATAATATTACCCCTTTCTAATATCTTCACACTTCCCTAGTTTTGTCCCCCCTGAACACTATAGGTAGTAGTTTTGGTCACCACTGTATCCCCAGTGCCTGGGATAGTGCCCAGCATAGAGCAAGTGTTGAGTGAGGGTCATCCTAGCCAGGGCTCTGGACTGGAAGGTGCCCCAATAGGGCTCGAAAGGCCTGGATCTGGAACTTCTGCCTTTGGGGACTGTGTCCTCTGGTCATTGCCCATCCCAACTTGAGCACCTTGTCACAGGGAACAGATATATCCCTCTTCTAGTCTGGACTCCCTCCCCCTTGTTGCCTCCTGCTGCCTCCTGCTGCCTTGTGGGCCTGGGCCTGCAGACACCAAAGACCATTCTAGTTTCCCCTGCCTTGGGGGGTCAGGTTCTCACATCTGACCCTGTGATGTGACAGCCCCCCAGCCCCCCACAGCAAGTCCATATGCTTCATGGCAACAGCTCGGCTCCCCCTCACCCCAGCCCGGCTCCCCCTCACCCCAGCCCAGGGTGGGGGGCAGGGGAGAGACAGGAATGGTGCCGCTTGGAAGAGGTGGCAGGAGGGGAATCTGAGAGGTGGGGGCCCGGCCTCCCAAGCTGTAAACTCAACAGGGCCTTTTATAGTCTCAAGTCTGGGAGGTGTCTCATTTGTCAATAGTTCAATCACCCAAACCTGTGAGACATACTGGAGCCCAGTGGCCACATGTCCTGCCCCTTCCCCATTCCTAGGGTGCTCATCAGTTTTATCTCTTGGGCTATTTCCCAAAGCCTGCCCCGGCCCAGTGCCACAGGCCCATGTGCAGTGGGAGGGAGCCAAGTCTGGAGCCTGCTGGTCTCCTCAACACACACCTCTGGGTGTTGCTCTACCCGCTTGCTCCAGGCACTTTTTCCCTCTCAAACTCCCTGCAGTGATTGATGAGAAACCCCCTTCTGTGTAAATTTGGACACAAGATTTAAGCCAAGGGAAAAGTGAAATTCCATATATCCCCTAGCAACCCCGGCCAGGTGTCTGGAACTACTGGATGTCACGCCACAGAGGCCCCTATAAGTAGCATGGCTGTCCTGATTAAGGGAGTGGATTTGACTATTCTTAGTACCTCCTATAAGTGGAATCGTACAGCATTTGTACGACTTGATCAAGGAAGATTTGATCTGATTTGATCAAGGAAGACAGTTTTTCAAGTGCTTGGCACACAGTAGGTGCTCAATGAACCAGGGTAACCTCTCCCGAGGTGTGCTGATTAAGGATATTCTGTGGTAGCAAGAAGCATGGTGCTGCCGTCCCCAGGGTTTTCACATGTGCTGTGCCTTGTGAGGCACCAGCCGCCTGCATCTTCCAAAGTGTCTCTGACCAAAACTGACATTCTACCCTGCATCTCAGAAATCTGAACTCCCCGAAACCCACTTTGGGGAGTGCCGGGACGGGTTTCCTTAGACTCGTTCTCCCAACTCCCAGGGAAGGCTACTCCCTTCTGTCGTTCATTCTTCAAAGCATTTGAATTTCTGTAGCAATGTCACGTGTCCGTAACTGTAGGAGTAACTATAAGGCTCACTACGTTCCCATCCCCCACCCCAAAGAAACCCACTTTGAACTTTTAGCTTTTTCTTCTGCATTTACCTCCATAGTACTTTTTTTTTTTTTTTGTCCTTTTTGAGACCAGCCGCACCGCGCTCAGCCCGTGAGCGCAGTGAGCACACCGGTCATCCCTATATAGGATCCGAACTCGCGGCGGGAGCGCTACTGCGCTCCCAGCGCCACACTCTCCGGAGTGCGCCACGGCTCGGCCCTACCTCCATAGTTCTTAATAACAAACATATTGTGCTTGAGTTTTGTCCGGACATTGTTGCTTTCTCTCTAGAGATGAGGAGAACTGAGCTCTCTCAAACTCCGCACGTACATAAGCACACTCTCCCTCTTCCCAGTCTCCTTGTAGACTTCCAGCATACATTTTTACAAGAGTAATAGTCATTATTATTATTATTATTTTTTTGTCCTTTTTTTGAGACCAGCTGCACCGCGCTCAGCCAGTGAGCGCTGTGAGTGCACCGGTCATCCTTATATAGGATCGGAACCCGCAGCGGGAGCGCTGCTGCACTCCCAGCGCCGCACTCTCCTGAGTGCACCACAGGCTCGGCCCGTCATTATTATTTTTATGTATTCACATTATTTGTATGTGAATATTATTTGCAGCTGAGTCATGCAGGGTCTATGGCTCCTCTTATTTTTTATTTGGCATTAATAAATTGTCTACTTTTATTTGCTGGATTTTCTGTGTTTATTTCAGATTCTGACCTTCCTCAAACCGTATGAAGGAAGCATAAATCAGGTGCTGACACTCTCAGAACTCATCGGACTGTCTTGCAGCCCTGGTGCTACCCGGTATGGCCCAGAGCTGCTGTCCCCCAGCCGAGCCCTGGGGGAGCTTGAAGAGCCTCCCCTATGTCCCAGGGTTCTGTCTTTCTCTGCTTACTCCTCCCTTCCTGGAACCTTCCCTCAGGCAACTGCAGACTTTTCTAGGGTATTTCTATTGGTTTTGTGCTCATTTGGGGTCTTCCCTTCCAGTAACCCTCTTCTTTGGGGCAAGAGGAGCTGCTCACAGTTCTCCAAATGTGCCACCGATGGCTCCCCAGAAGACCACGGCCTGGCCCGCTGTGCTTCCCTCTTTCTCATTGCCACCTGCCCAAGGTTTCTCCTCCTCTCTTCTTGCTGTGGGTTTTACTGGTGTAAGTAAAAGTCTCTCTGACACAAGCAGGAGGGGGCTGACGGGGAAGCCAGCTCCTGCAGGGACAATGGGGGAATAGCACAGCCCACTGCTCCTCGGTGGCCTGCCATACTGAGGCCACCAGACTCTCTTTGCTCTGTGCCCACCTACTGTTTGCCTCCACCACACACTTCTGCTTTTCTCTCAGGATTTTTCATCATTCTCCATGACAACTGTGTGGTCAATACCTCTGCCCTAAAATCAGCGGGGACAGATGCCACTCCTCTGCCTCATCCCCACCAAATGTTTTTTAAACATTTTGAAATGTAGTAAGTGTATCCTATACAACAAAGAGTTCATACAGCATATCATCCTTGTAATCCTCCCTTTGGGCCACCTTCATCATTCAGCCTATGGGCCCTTCCTCAGGAGGGGTTTGAGTCTAGGAGATGCTTCCTTCCCCCAGGAACCAGGCACCCAACCCACATACACCTGGGGGGCCTTGGGGATGGTGCTCATGTCGCCCCCTTTCCCCCAGCAGACCCACCTTCACCCCAGTGCCAGGCCCCATGGCCTCCCGAGGCAGACCCTCCAACAGAAAGCAGGGAAACAGCTGTTTAGCCTGGACACTTACTGGACAAGCCACCTCAGTAATGCAGAGGGACTCTGCAAAAAAAGCCCCCATCTCCACCCAGCCCTAGCCAGAGAGACGCTCTACTGCTTTTCTGGCTAGCTAGGGGACACTTAGGAGAACCGGCAAAACGAGATATCCAAACTTTCATATGATTGGTTTAATTTTTTTCAGCAGGAGAAAAAAAGAATAAAGTTACAAGATTCTTTTAATATTTTCACAATGTTAAAACTAAAACTGAGCTCTAGGCTATGTGTGTAAGTAAATCTAGAACACAAAGGGGTTAAATAAGATTTTCTCTTTTAAAGATACAAGAATTTAAGCTTTCCTTACATTTGACAAACTTCACAGAACAGATACTGTGGGGGACAGCCCTCCCCACCCCGCCCCCACTCTGCTGGCAGGAAGTGCACGTGGCTTCTTCCATCCCTGTGTGTGGCTGGCTCCCAGAGCTCCTTTTTCCCATTGCTGCCTCCAAGCAGCAGCCAGTGGGGCCTGAGGAGGGAGAGGAAGGGCGTGTGTCTCTTCAGGATCAGAGCTTGGCGGGAGAGCCTAGGCCACCTTACTGAGGATAGCCATGTAGTGGCCAGAGGGCTGAGGCTTGACCACAGTGGTAAACGCTGGGCAGACCTGGCCCCTCTGCCCTGGGCTGCCCTAGAGCAAGACACGGGTCTGGGTCCTGAAGCAAGAATTAAGGCTGGAGATTTTGCAGCGGATTCCACTCTGGTGGAGATTGGAAAGTAGGGTGGGAAAAGAAGGTTGGGAAGAGCATGATTTCCTATTTCAGTATTTTGGATCAAAAAACATTTATAGTTGCAGGTGTTCAGCTGTTAATTTGCAGACAGAGTTGAACTGTTTGTTTTATAAAAAGGAAAGTTGCTGGGTTTAACTATTCCAGTGGCCTCGGTGTGGGTAGATCCATGCTGCCTCTGCAGGAGCCTCCTCCCCTAACACACCTGGATCAGATGGGGCGGCTGGGACTGCTCCTGCTCGGGCTTTCAATGGAATCCTGATCCTGTCTACCCCAGCCCCCACCCCCACCTAATTGGTAAAGATTTCTCAACATGGGCAACCAGGCCCACCTCCACCCTTCCCCACCTGGCCTGAGCTACTGCAGCTACTGAACTCCTCCCCATCCACATGAGGCAGCACAGGCTGAAAAATACGCCCTCCCACCCCCACCCACCAGAACAAATGTCACTCTTAGAGCTGGGCCATGGCCACAAACCCCTGTTCTAGACAGATCCAAACCCACTGTCCCTGTGAAGTATGCTGCCTTCCCTTGCCAAACTTGCTATGTGGTTGCGTGGACTGGTTGTCCTTGGACTACGAGGCTGCATAGAAACGAGCGCGGAGGCCACGGCATCCTCCTCTTGGCCCCTAGTGGGGTGAGCGGGCTGAGCGGGCTGCAGCTGGAAAGGGCAGCATCTGTGGGCAGCAGCTTCCCCAGTTGCTCCCTAGCACTTCTGATTCCTGTTGGCTATGAAACAATGTCTTTTTTAAAAACTCCCAATATAGAAATCTAGCTGCAGAGGCCAGTTTGCAGACCCCGCCACAGTTGCTGTGCTGCCATTAGCCTTATCTGATCAGTTGCCAGATCCCAGCACTTGGCAAATGGCAAACCAGAGCTGGGGAGTCAGGGTGCGCTCTGGCTGCTTCTCATAATCACGGATCCTGTGTAGAAAAGACGGGTCTCATTCGTGGACTAGTCTTGAGTGGAGCAAACTTTTCAAAGTGAGGTTACTGTTTCTCCTCTTGTATGATGAGTTTTTTCATAGCAAGTCAGGTAAAAAATTTCCGTAAGAATCTGTCCCCCCTCCCCCTGCATTTCCAGCTCTGTAGGAGAGCAAGGCCACCACCCAGCCCAGCCATGTGGCCAACCTCAGCAGCCTCCTGTGACCAAGGCACACGTGACCATCAGGTGTCCTGGCTACGGGGACTAAGGATAAGTGAAGAGGTGAAAGGCTGAACGTTAAACAGAGGTTCTGGCAAAGCCAGGGGCATCGTGGGAACTTTAACACCAGCTTCTACTCCTCTATTAACTCAGAGTCTCCGTCTGGAACACTTTCCGCTTAAGGCTTTTTATAAGTTTGACTCCAGCAGTGACAGGTATGTGTTGTTTTAAATCCACTAGCCATGCTCAAAAAAAAATATTCTTCATGTTTTAATTTTATACAATGGCTAGCAGGCACCTTAGTAACCAGCCAGAAATCAATTTCAACCACCATCAACCCCTAAACTACAGTACCAGGATGGCTGGCTAAAGAAAGGAAATGGGCTGGCTGTAGTCTGACGCGTGCCCAGTACAAGGTGTCTGGCTGACTTTGTCCTAAATAAGGCTAACATTAGTGAACTAAGAACAGCGTCACGTGGTGGCCGTGCCTGGCCTTCAGGAGCACCCCTCCCCGATGCGCTGGCAGGAGCGCCCCACTTTCCGGTCCAGTTTCACCATTTTCATGATGGCTTCCTCTCGGCCGCGGCCCATGTGGTCAAATGTACAGTCATGCTGCTCAGGGAGGCGATGTAACATACAGAACACGTAACCTGCAGCAGTGGGAGAAGCAGAGGAGAGAGACTGTTAGGGTGGCCTCCAATGCTCAAAGCCTTGTTCTTGCCCTTGTCAGAGGACAGAGGGGGCATCTCTGTGGATGGACAATGGTCACGGCAGGGGCTCCTGCTGCTGAAGCGAGTTTACCACACGTCCCCCTGTAACAGTAGGGCCAGCACTCAACATTCCATGGTGCTCATGTGATGCCCTCAGAGCTCCCAAGCTGTGGCTGCTCAGAGGTTGTCCTTGCCCAAGTTGACTGCTACAGTGAGACACAGCCCCTTCCCTTGGAAATGAGTGGGCTCTGATCCCCCCACCCCCACCCCTAGTCACCAGGTGGGCGGGAGAGCACAGAGCTGCCTGCTCAGCACTGTCCCTGGCTGGGGCAAACTATAATATCCACCACATGACACTCACCATTTCTAGGAGGCAGGAAGGGAGGAGAAATGATTATGGCTTAAATTGCATCCGACCTCCTATACAGTCAGGGCTTGGGGGGATGGTGGAGTGATCAAACCACAACCCACAAGTGAGTGAGGAAGAAAACAGATGATCTCAGCTGCTGGAAAAGATTATTACATATAGAGGAAAGAAGAGAAATGCTGAACTCTAAACTGCCATCTCCAAGGAACCTGATACTTACAACTCCAACTGGTAGGTGGGAGGTTGAGGTCCCCACACCCAGGGTCTCCCACATGCTCTGCCCTCCCAGAAATGCAGGAGGCTACAGCCCTTCTCTCTGTGGAGCAGAGAAGTCCAAGGGAGACATCAGTCCAGCAAATAAGAGAAAAAGACAATTGAGGCTAGTAGAAGCAGGCAGTGAGGAGAGGCCTACAGAGCAGGGAGTTGGTACAGATGAAGTCTTTCTGGGTAGGAAACAATGAGGGGAGGACCTCAGGGAGTCAGGAGAGAGGCTAAGAGGACAAAAGGGAACACAGAGCTGCATCAAGGTACAGCCTGTTCCCTCCCTACTTCCCGGCCAATTTCTAGAAAGGCTGATATGTGTGTGTGGTACAGACACTTGATGTCCCCTGGGTCTGACTCTCTTTCAGGGAGGTTGGAGGGGACAAGATCTGGGCTAGGAAGACACCTGCCAGCACTGGCCAGCCCCCTCTCTACCTTCTCATCCCATCAGTTGTATCTGGCCCCATGGGCCTAGATCAGGTTTACAGGAGCAAGTCTCCAGGTGAATCCAAACCCATTCCTGAACCTCCTCTCCTGTGCGCCTGGAGCAGGCGCCCCACAGCAGCCTGCCCAGATCAATACTCTTCTCACTTATTCTCCAAGCCAACTGCATTTCTTCTCAGGCTTCTTTCAAGCCCGGGTCCAGACCACAGACAATGGGCAGCCACCCTTTACAAACTGACTCATCCATCCCCATATCTTCAATTTCTTTTCTTTTTTGTAGATGTAGTGGCTGTGATTTTAGAACAGCAGAAGGTAAAGCAAGGACTGAGTGGCCAGGATAGACAAGAGTCTCAGCAGCCTTAACGTTTAAGATTAACTTCACCTAAACAACACTCCTCAGCCTGAGGGAGTGAGTGTGTGTGTGTGGTCTTAAATGGCCTGACACCAAACACCAACCAGCTTCTGGAACTCGACATATAGCTACGTAGCTGAGTGCATGTGCACACGGGAGTGGGATTGGGGGGGTGGGGGGGTGGCTGAACGACCAAACTGAGCCTGAGCCCCATCCACTGTGCAGAAAACACATTATTAACTGTTTCCCAGGGAGAGCAGGGCAATATGTTTGACTCCAAACTGGGACTGCATTTAAGGAAAAGAACAGAGATGAAATTTTTGTCTCCTCAGAAACTGAGCTCCCACTTGGTCCAAAAGCAAAGTTAAGATTAATGAGCTCATGTGTTATATTTACTGATAAGTTCACTACTTGGAGATACTGGATACCAGTTTTCTTTCTCTTAAAGGATTTCACAGCAGAAGCAAGTATGGCCTCAATATGCATCCTCCATCTAACAAGCAAAACTATCATTTTGGAGCAAAGCCACCTGGTGGGGGAGAACTGCCAGGTCAAGGCTTAGGGTGGAGACACCAACAGGACAGTGTCAGAATGTGTCTGTAGACATTTTTGTCACCAAGTCCCGACACACTTCTGTATCTTCACCATCTATAATAAGAGGTGAGAGGACACCTGCTGCCGCCCCTTCCCCTCCCTTCCCTTTCTTCAAGATACTGATGATTCTCGGGAGAAGGTCCCAGGGGCTCTTCTCTCCTGATGAATGGTGCTGGCTGAATAAAAGCAGGAGGAAATGGATTAAGGCTGGAATTACCATATCTCCTGGCTCAGGTCACACCTCATTGGTCAAAGGCAGACTGGGGTGGAGAGGAGAGGCTTCAGTCTGGTCCTCATTAACACCCCCACCCCCATTGCTTGGCTTGCCTTCTGGCAGCTAGCAGACAGCCAACTTGGTGGATTTCAGAGCCCCAGGCCTCTGTCTGGAAAAGGAAACAAGGAGTAACAACCACAGCAACCCCCACGCTCCCCACAAATGTTTGCTCTATCCACCCAAGGATTCTTCACCCAGTCCAAAATGTCTTATTTCTCTGCCCAATTCTGTGTACCTGTAAGACACACTTTTACACTTGGCTTTGGTTTTTGAAGGTGTAATCTGAAAACAGCAGCTAGATTTTGGGAGCAGCACTGGTAACAATTAGAATATATGGCACTATAACTCACTGGACAAAGTCTGGGCAAGATTTTGGAAGGCTAACTTCCCAAGTTGCTGCACTGAGGTTATTAGATGGCATAAATTAAGCTCAATTCCTTCTCCTGTCAGGATCACTCAGTAAGAGGAAGTTACATGCTGGAGCTTGTCCCAAAAGCTGAGTAGGTATTATCCTCTGACAGCGGCCAATGGCTAGATGCACTTTGGTGTTAGTAGTCTGGAGTGGGTAGGGTGGGAATGACTGGTGGGTGAGATGAATCTTTATCCTCTTTTCTTGGTACCCACAGATCTGTTTCCAGAAAACACTGCAAGTGTCATGAACTTTGAATTATTCTTTGATTGCAATCTGGAGACCAAGCTGGGTATGGAGAGAGATGAATTCAGGCTGCTAGGGAGGATGACTGTTCTTAATTTCAATGATGAGCACAGTTATTAAGCACAAGAGGATTTACAGCCTTAACACTTCCTCCACACCATTCATTACAAACCAACTGGGGCCTTTCCAGAGAGGACCAAAGAAGGTAGTATCCAGAAGGGATGAGAACACAAAGGACAAAGAACTGATGAGCAGAACTGTGACAGTGGCTCTATATTATCACCCAGGGTGTCATGTAATTCTTTTTTTCCTCTGATTTTAAAAAGTTATATATTAAAATCAAATTAACTCACTCAATCACATATAAATAATCCCATATCTACACTCTCCTTATGGCCCCATTGTTCAGCAGCATGTCATTTAAATAACAATTTCAACATACTTTTGAAAACAATTTCAATATACTTTTGCTTACTATATAGCATATAGTGCTTTGGAGGGATAAAGAGGGATATGGGTAGGGAAATATGATTAAAAGGAAGCTCACCCCCAAAAGAAAGGAAAATAGCCAAGGAAAACATTTTTGAAAACATGGTCTGCCTGCTAAATGTGGCAGATCGTGTTTTCATGATCTTTCCCCAGCCAAGTCACATGACTGGCTGCCACGCTCCTTGGAGTCCAGATTACTAGAAATACAAGCCACGGAGCTCCTTTTAAAAGGCTGCCTGAGCTGTTTTCAGTAAATCTGCACAAAACACTCAGGAAAACTTGTGTGGGCGTCTCTTTGCTTGCTGGCACTGAAGAGTAATTTGGGACAAGCCCTTGATTAAAAAGGGAGGGGGAAGCAGCAGCTCTATAAGCACTTTGTTCCATGGCCCCATCATTCCATGCCCCTCCAGACTGCAGCCTCTCTCCACCTGCCAATGTCCTGGCTTCTGACAGGCCATCCTGGGCATGGGAAGAGAGAGTAATACAAGTGATGAGGCCCAACCACAGCAGGTAGTAGCAGTCACCCCTGCGATCTGGGATGGAAGGTCTCCTGAGGGTCTCAGATAGCTACACCCTCAGTCTGAGAAGACCTTCTTCAACTGAGCAGGCAGCATCAAGATGAGGACACATGGAAGAGGAAGGGAAGACAAGGATGCCTGCCCAGACAGCCACAGTGGATGAACCACCGGAGGCTCTCATCTCAGGGCCCAGCAAGTCTGTGGCTGTGGAAAGAAGAAACGCGGGGAGAGCAGTAGCTTCCCTGACTCTGTAACTGCCAGAGACATAAGATTGTGGCGTAAGGCAAGAAGAGAGGAGAGAAAAAAATAAAAAAATAAAAAATCAAGACCTAGCTAAAAAGAATCCCATGCTGATGAGAAATACAGAAGGCAGCTTTCAGGTTGTTCACCCTGAACAGAGAGGTCTGGAGGCTTCTCTTGGGAGAACGAGTATTTCAATGGAGGGCACTCATGGGTATTAAACCAGCACATCTAGACTGAGCCTTCCTGATGCAGACACAGGGCCTGTGGTCATGTGCCACACAGACTTAAAGAGGCCCAGCATCCAAAGGGCCTTGGAAATTGCAAGCAGAAAACATTCCCAGCAGAAAACTGAACTGAGGCTCATTTTTCTAAGACTCATAAAAGTCTGACATGCAAATTTCTAAAAATGCTCATTTGGTAGGAACCAAATTTCTGACTCAACCCTACAGCCTTTAAAGCTAACATCCGAAATTCTTACAATTCCTTCTGATCTCTCATCAACAGTGACACCTCACCTCTGCTTACTCAGGAGGGGGCATGGTGAGTGTTTTGAGACTACAACCTACATGACTGAGAGCAGCTTGCACAAATGCCATCATTAGCCAAATATGCAGTATCACCCAACACCTTGCCATGAAAGTTGTAACAATATTTCCGATTTCATTCCCTGTGCACAAAAATCAACCACAATCACTGCCTAAGAGGAATATTCTGAAAGGTCACCCAACATAGGCCCCCCTAGG